CGGCCTGCGGCAGTAGCTCCTCCACCACCAGCTGCTCCTGCCAGTCCTCACACCCCGAGATCCCTTAGGAACCCCAGGGACACCTGCGCAGCCGCAGCCCACAGGCAAATCACCACCACGATGCACCAGCGCCGCCGACTGCAATTTTTCGGCAGTAAATCCCACTGATGCAACGCGACTGGAGAGCCTGGACGAAGCCAAACCCACCCCCGTCTCAGAGCGTGCACAAGTTGCGCGTCTCCTTGCTGATGGGCTCCAAACCCCAAAAAGTTCTGAGAAAATGGAGTCAAAGGGGCTGGTTATGGCACAGCTGAGGTCTGCCTGGTTGTCCTTACTGAGCCAACCCGGCTGTGCCATGTTTGGGAAATGGGTGTCCTCTAGTGGATCCAGCATTGCTGAAAATAACTTCTTGTATTGTCACAAGCTGTAGTATAACCTTGCTCCATTTGCAGATCTCCCGGTTTCCCAATGTGCAGACTGTGGGTACAACTAACCTCTGACAAGAGACTTCATTACCCATGAGGCATCTGGAAATAATCCCTCTGGTTGAAAATGAGCCTTTGGCTCTCAGATGCATCTGCCACCTCTGGTCTGACCTTCCTGAGCAAGCCATCAGCTGGGAGACAGGTCGAGTGGTCCCTGAAGCACTTCCTTGGATTAAATGAAATGACACGTTCCCCATTGCAGAGAGACCGTAACGCGCTCAGCATCCCACAGCACACACGTGTGTGTCACGCTACGGCACGCTGAACAGGAGCTCCAACTCCTGCCGCACCGGGAACGCCTCACTGGCCTGAGTTAAAAATTATGGCTGCAAGGGTGGAAACACAGGGGGTGCTTCCCAGGAGGGATCCTGCACCACTCCAGCTCAAGCCAACTCCTGCCATTCCAAACAGCCAAGCAGAGAGCAGCACCCTGTCAGCACTGCCTTCTCAGTTCTCAGCTCCGGTGTCACTCGGGGCTGCCCCGGTGGCTCCCAGCCTGGGGAGCAGTTCTGCCCCAGTGGCTCCCAGCCTGGGGAGCAGTTCTGCCTGCGGCTGGGCTACCCAAACCCACCCCCGCTGCTCTCCGATGCTCCCCAACCAAGCTGCGTCGCTCAGCAGCCAAGGAGAGGCAAAGTTCCTCTCCTCTGTGCAGCATGGGAAGCATCCAGTGCGGCAGGGAGCTGGGGAGCTGCAACTGGGCTATATTTTTTATATGTAAAAAATATATATATCTCAGCTGCTTCTGTGCTGGCTGGGAAGGGCTCTGCCTTCATTCACCTTCCTGCAAAGGCAACGGCTAACAAAGACACTTCAGCATAAAACTAGTAACGAGATGTAGCACGCTGGTTTTTAACAGTGACCTTCATCAAGCTCAGAGCTCTTTTTGCTTAATTTTTTCCAAAATGAAAGCCAAGTCAATCATGAAATGCCAGGAGAAGATGTTAACTCTTTATTAACAAATTGATTTAGAAAGGCTTAGCGAGACAGGATTAATGGATTTGGTGGTCAGAAAGGACTGCCGTAATCTTCTAGTCTGACCTGTTGCAGAGCACAGGTCTGGACTTCTGCAGCCCACCAACTGGGGCCGTTGCAGAAGGGCTTATCTTTTAATCCAGGCCTTGGAGAGTCTCGGTAAAGTCACTACATGCTGGTCCAACAGTCAGCCTCACTGTAAACACCACGCGCTCTGGTTGCAGTTTTGTGGTATCTGACTTCCCCTTACAGCCCCTGGCAGTGTCAGCTGAAGTGCTTTAAATAGGATTCTTTAAATATTGTGTTTCAAAGTACTAATGACTCTCTTCCTCATGACTGCTTTATCTTACAGTATCAAAGTAACAGTGACCTTGATTCTGAACTCAGTTACTCCCAACACCACGTCTAATAAATCCATTCCTGTAATGGTTTCAATTTTACATTTGCTAAGAGACCAAACCCTTCTCCACAAGGGTATAAACCAAGCAAATCCACGGAAGAGCAGCCAGCTGTCCATGCTCCTCTGTCTATTGTGTAGCCACCGTAAGCAGCTCAGTATGGAATGGTAAAAGAGAGAGTTGGCCATAAAGTGCTAGTTTTTTTTTGAGGAACAAAGGAAAAGTTCCATTCCGGAAGCGTGTCATATGTCTGAGCCCAGCTCTGCGCACTGCTTGTCTGATATGTGGTTAGCTAACGACTCTATGATGTCAAGGAGGAGCAGCTGACTCAGGGAGCGCAGATTTGGCAACTTGGAGACCTTCAAGGAAAAGAAAAACAGAACAGAAATAACAGAAAGAAATTAAACCCCTCCCCAAACCACACCTTTCACCCTTTCACGCCCTGCCACCCTGGGTGAAATGGGCAGGTCAGGCTGGGCACGCGCGGCGGGAAGTCACCGTCACGGAGCTGGGCTGGAGCGGATGGACCATGGGGGCTCCAGTCGCAGCTTCCTGCACTTACAACCCAATTCCAGACTGCTGCATGGAGGGGGTGGGAATGGAGGAGAGCAGAAACGCTGACCCCAGCGCTGCCTCTCTGAGGAGGGAGTGTAATTACTGCCTATATTGACAACTCCACTGCTAACGGATGCCAGCTAAGCACTCTCCTAAAAAGCAAAGCTGGGCACCGGCACAGCCCTGCGCTTTGACCTGTGTGTTCTTACTGGGAACGTGACTTAGGACCTGATCCCTTCGCTCCTGTGTGCCCAGTGCCCATGCTGGTTTTGCTGGCCTAACTCCCACGGTCAGAGCAGGTCACTGGAGCAGGAGCCAACAAAAACCTTCACTGCATCAGGCAGATGAGAACCTACAAGAAATTTTGTGCTCTTAGACTGTTCAGAAGCTCAACTGTTACAAGAAAGGAACTCTACACACTTCTTCCTCCACAACCTCAGATGAAGGAGCAAGTAATCCCCCTAGAATTTCTAGAGTCACTAACATCCACGCCCAGCCTCGAAGGCAGACTGTGCCCGCCAGCCTGGCTGTTCACCCGGTCTCTATTGACCCCTCTAACAGCAGATTATCGCCTCACTCCAAGAAGCTCAACTGTGATAAAGAACAAAGATGTCCCAGGCATCTTTGCAAACCCTGGGAAGGAACGGCTGAGTACGCTCTCAGAAAGAGCTCAGGATATGTGCTTGAAGTAACATCCCCAAAATAAGGGTCTGCGAGGACTGGGAGGAAAGAGCCCCCTTAAGGCTGGTAGGAATGCTGCCCCTGCCCCAAGGCACGCGCTGCGGAGGAACAGAGCAGGGTGTTAGTAGAGACACTTCGGAACAGCGGTTTTATTAGGGCTTTTGCACAATACTGACACACAAGAGCCTAAAAACACATTGCCCAAATGAAGAAACCTGGGAACAGCTCTTCAACTAATGTCCTTACTGTGGGGAAAACTGCTCAACAGCCCAAATCCAGAACAGCGTTAAGCAAACTGGAAGAAGAGGATCCCAACGGCCATACACCCAGCCTGCCTAAGCCATGGTGGCCCACCAGGGTGTGCAGCTCAAACAAACCATCCTTCAGAGCCTGCGGCTTGCCAGGGAGCACAACGGGCAGCACTAGCCACACAGAGTCACCCAGCGCCTGGCCAACAATCACACTGACACCTCTCAGGCCAAAGAAAAACATTGCATAATTCAGATTTCTTCGTGCACATCTGCTTGACGGTCTTCCAGCCACGTTTTGATGAGATCCGTCCTAACAGTCGCCAGTTTAAATATAAAACATTTCCACACATTCTGGTTAGGGGAGTACAATTGAGTAACGCCCTTCAGTTCAAATCTCTCTTGCTGGAATGTTGCAATGCTCATTTCCCCCAGTACGTGCTGGTGAGAACCGTGCCAACCTGTTTGTCTCCCTGTGGCCTCCACTGGGAGGTTGAGACCGTGAGATTTCAGCTCTCGGGCACTGTAAGGCACTAACACCAAAGCCCAGGAGACGTCCCAGCCACCCAGCTATCCTGTCACCCACGGCGGGCCCACTCTCCATCTCCCGCTGAAGCTGGGCGGCTCTCCAGGGTTCACGAAGCCAGAAGAAAACACGTAAGATGAAGGCAGGGACTGCAGCCTCGTGCTGGGGATTCTCCTCTGAGAACGCGATTCCTGGCTGCTGGCCCCGCTCCCAAAGCTTTTCATGCACCTAATGAAGAGCCTGAAGCCCTCCCTCCGTCTCATCACTAGATACGAGCTGGACTGAGTGATGCTTTCCTTCCCGTGGGCAGCGGCGGGAGGATTGTGAGATTAAGGATACGGAAGACAGCTACTTGAATACTAACTAGGGAATTATCGTCAGTAAGCGTGTAGCATCCAGGAATCCCAATTCCTATGATCTATCTATCCATTTCCACAACATTAATAGTTGCGCAACAAACCGGTGACATGCTGGGAAACTCTCATGGAGGGCTCTTCTCTCACAGGAACAACTGAATGCCAATACCCTTCTCTTGAGTGAGGACAGGAATATCAGCCTCAGGCTCCTGCCCTTTCCTATCACTAACACATCACCCCGTGCATAAAAACGAGAACTACAGGAAGCCCAGCCAGGACACGGTAATTTGCCTTTTGAGCACAGGACAACATAACATCCATGACAGAGAATGCTTCCAGAGAAACATGAACAGCACACTCGTAACCAGCAGTGAAAGAGAGATCTGTGCCCTCAGTACGTAACAAACTTATCTTGCCATACACATGAGAACCCAAGGATGGCATGGCACAAAACTAATAGCTGGAACAAGTGGAAATGGAACTAATTCTGTGGAACGTCTGTTTTGGAAGGTCTTCACGTTTCCAGACTAGGCTGTTCTAGTCTTTTGTTCATTTTTAGTGTGAAAAGCACACCCAGCAGACTCGCCAGTGAGTGCCAGTGATACGCAGCCAGCTCTCAGCTGTCTCGCATGAGAAGGACTGAAATGCATTCCTACATTAATGTGTCTTTAACCAACGCAGCGACAGAGGACAGCAGCTCTCAAAAGCCCCAGAAAAGATGCAACCAACCTTGGTGAACTGATGAACGATGATGTGCAGGCAGTGCCTCTTCATGTCCAGAGCCTGGGTCTTGTCAGCTGCCTCTAAAATCTAGAGCAAAAGCAATGATTTGATTTTCCTCCCGCATGGCTCAGATGTACAGGGCACAAACACTGTTCTGGTAATTCCTCTGAGCTAGGGAAACACCTCCATTCTTCATTACAAACCTGAATCTTTTCTGAACTACCCAAAAATAAGCCTTGGATTTAAAATGTGTGGAGTCCTCTGAAGATAATCAGCACGAAACTGCAGACCTGTTTCAGAGTCAGGTTCCCTGACGCGCCCCAGTGAGACTGGCACGGGCAAGAGCCAAAAGCAGTTAATGCTGGAACTGATTCTGCTCGTGTTGCAGTGGGTTCAGTCTGCCTCCCTAGTAGGTGGCTTTGTAGGCTTTCTTATCACAGAACACCTTCTGTTAGCTTAAACTCCATCGCCAGGCCCTGCCAGCATTACTGACAAAACAAGACTGACATCACCCCCCCATCACCGTTTTGGTGGGTACAAATGCCCACCGAAAAAGGGCTGGAGCTGAGTGCTGAGCACGCGGTACACCTTAAAAACTCCTTCAGAAACACTAGTCTACAGTGGGGAACGAGGGGCTCAAGGGAAACACCCTGCTGGCCAGTTGAGCAGCATCTGCTAACGCCTGAGCACAGGAGCCCTGGGGACACAAAACACAGACAAGGAGACAAAGCCGCTGCCGGCTGCGCTCCCGCACACGTGTGAACCACGCAGGGCCACTGCCATTAGAAGGGTCTGTCCAGTCCCACTGGATTGTCAGTCTGGAAGCCACTCAGTGGACCTGGCACTGGGGGCACCCACTTTCCCAGAGCCTTTGGCTTTCCCGTATCAAGTCAGACAACTAGAGACAACTACCTGGAGCACGTTCTCCACCGTGACGTTCATTTCTAGGTTCTGCTTACAATAGGCTTGCAGTCTGTTGTTGGAGAAGCCGTAATAGTAAGGTGCAGCAAAGAGGTAGCTGTTAATTCATTCAGGAAAAAAAGATGTAAAGCAAAGGTACCAGCACTTGCCTGCAAATACAAACCAATGACAGAAGGAAGCACCGGAAGGTGAGCTGCTGCACGCACACTTCCGACTGATACTTCGATTACTTCAGGCATAAGGATACAGGGAGTCTTCAGGAGGCATGTTTACTTCTCCATAATAAATGTATCTAAGCATGGATTCAAACGCTTGCTTGCTGGGAACCATTTCACCTATGGAAATATTCACTTGGCCATCTTCTGGCATGAAGGATCGAAACATGGCTTCGAAGTAACTGGGAAAGGAAATAAAACTGATGTAACACATGCTGCAGACACATGGTTTAACCCAGGATTGTTCAAAGGCTGCTATTAAGCACTGCAGCTTCCAAAGTAAACTCAGGTGACAATCTGGGCAAAAACCCTGCTAAACTGGTGTTTCATATATGTCTGCCTGTGAGAGACCTCTAAATATAATCCCCTAATTTCCATCAGCACTACCTGAAATTTGTCTTTGTTTCTTGAAAATCAGGGCACATGGTGCTCTGATTTCTGTCTAATTTGCATAAGACCCAGCAGAGAGCTTAAAGCATGATGAATTTCCTCGGTATCTGCAGGCTGCCAATCACGCAGGGTCGTTTTAAGAGCTGTGAAATGCTTCTGGTAAAATACCACGGTAACTAATACTGCATATCATTACTGGGACTGGAAAGAAACGGGGACAGTATTTGAAACAGGGATTTTATGTGAACACAACGTCTGGCAGAACACAAAGGTGCAGGTACACAGAACACACAAGCAAGGACAAACCCGCTTCACCCATATGCTGAGGAGGGAGAGCGGCACCCATCTTCAGCAGGGTGAACTCCTGCCTCTGCAACAGAGCACGGCAACAATCTCGTCTGTTCTGCGCCGCTTTTTGTTACGCTTATTCATATCCAGTCTTAATATCAGCAAGTGAGGGAGACTCAAGTTTCACACGATTCAAAAGGGATGTTCACCACCAGGAGACTCTTCCTGACCTCAGTGGACATCTGTTGCTTTCCACTTCACTGAAACCACCTTACATTTTACACCCTTTTTCCCTTCCTGTGATTTTACAGATCCTTTGTCTTGCAGTGCAGCTTCTTACACACCCTCTAGAGAATCTCTGCAGTTTCAATTTCCTCCTATCCTTCCCTGCTGGGCATCAAATTGAAAAAAATAGTTAATCACTGTTGCTTAAAGGCTTATTACACTCACTGAGCAAAGTGCATCTTAAACTTTATGAGGATACAAAGTTCCTCCCAGTCTTCAAAAAAACCCCCAGCTGACCCACAGATTGTACAGCACTGCATTTTACACACACAAGATTTGTTGTAGTTTTACTGAACATCCACTCACCTGGAGCGGGCTGCCAGGATGGCTTTGTGGGCTGGCCGCGGGTGGCCGTCCAAGAGAAGGATGATATCGCAGAATTCAGTCCCGGCTCCTTCCAGGTAAGCCTTCATGTCCTGAATTAAAGATGTTCCTGAAAGTTAACATAGTGAAACAGTCAAAGACATGATAGTTCCAGGTGACCAGATGCTATCAAACTAATAGTGGGAAATAGCTCCAGCTCCTCTTCCCTTTGGGACCCTTGGGGCGAGGGGGAGGCAAAAGAGCTTCATCCTTCCCCGTTGTAACCCATTCCTGCCTATCCCAGAACCAAACCTGGCAGCTCTGCCTTCAGACTGCTGACAGCGCACACCGGCAGTGGCCACACTGAAAGGTGTTTTCTACAGATAAAGAAATCTGATTTTTCCACACCCTTTTCATTATTTCCAAACACAAGGAATATAAAATCTTGTCTCGTAATCAAAAAGCTTTCCCAAATCCTCAAAATAGAGGCTTCTTCCATCCAACATTTTAAGCAACCTTTGAAAATATACAATGGCTGAGAAATAGAGCACATTCCAGTCTGATCCAAATTCACTCATGTTTTCAAAGTTCATCTTTCAATTTTTTTTCATGTTTGGGTCTTTCACACTGTTCCGGCTCTGGATACAGGAGCTGGCTATGCCATCTTCCCAGACGGTGCACCTCTCTTCTCCCTGGGACAAATGCCAGCCAAAGGCTTCTACTTGACCCTCCAGGACTGGCTTCTCCATCTCATTCACCAGTCCTCAATTCATTTTGTGTAGTATTCCAAATCAATACCAGCAATGCCTCTGAACTTTGTAGCCTCAGCAAAGTTCACTATTCATTCCTTTTCCCGTGTGTCAGGATGATAGAATCTTGAGTAAGACTAGTCCCAAATCAGTCCTGATGAATTCCATAACAGAACTGTAAATCAAATCTTCTTCTTCCAGCAGAACCACAGAATGAAAATTAAAGGCAAGACCATCAGATTATTTATCTTCTCAAAGTCTTCTCCTCCCTGTCTTCTCTTCTTTTCTTCCATTAACTTTTCTTTTTCTTGGTTAATTTTTCCCTGCTTCCCCCTCCACCCCCTCTGATAAGGTCTACTTTGTCAGCACTGGCTTACTGCCAAGATCCTTTTCCTCACTCTTGCTCCTCCTTCGGAGAAAACCCATGAGCAGGCAAACCCCCACTCAGCCTTGTCACCTCCTCGTCCACTTACACTGCATGTCCACTGCCTTTTCTTTGCATCATCCTTTGCACCCTTCTGTTCCTTCTGCCTCGTCTCTCTCTGAACACAATCAAGACGTTTTATTGCAAGAAGAAAACAACTATATTTATAGTTAGATAGTTATCTCATTTAACACATGAGAGGTCGTGTATTTTGATGGGAAACTGTTCTGATTGAAGTTCACTGGAAAAAGAACCGGCGTGCCCTGACTTAGTCTGGGACACAGCCTAAGCACAGTTACACCAACTGGAGAATCAGTGGTCTGCAGTGGTCTGCTTCGTAGGCTGTTTCCCAGACTAAACAAACGATTAGCAACACAAAACCAGCACAACTAATTATTTGATAAAGCACAAAACTTACCGATGTCAAGCGGCTGGTCGGAATGTGTTCGCACAGGAGGCTGCTGTTTTCTCCGTACAATCTCCACAATGAGGGATGAAGAAAGATGCTCGAACTCCTTCATCATTATTACCTGATTAAAATGTGATTCCTTCACCACAAAGTTCAGGCAATGTTCCTTAAAAAAAGCAAACAATATTAATAAAAAAATGATGGTTTATAGCATGAAGTCGTCCTGCTGCTAGCAAATTATTGGCACTAGATCCACCAACTGCTGAGATACCAGCTTGAGCTCCTGGGCAGCTAATGGCACCCTGGTCATATGCACCAAAGGCAGTGCCAGCGTTTACATACTTGCTGCTGACTCTGCTGCTGTCCTCCTGGATGCCTCTCCTTTGCCCACACCTGGTGCATAAAGAGCGCCTGAGGAAGTGCTGGTGCATACTGGTTTCTCCAGCCTCACTCTGCTTGCAGCCATCTGCTACATGGCCAACTGATCTGCACAGGCTGCTCAAACAGGCATTGCAGGATCTTGCACTGACTCTTGGACTTAGGTGGAGGAGCTGCTTCTCTGCAGCTGTAAGCAGACTCAGCTCTGGCCACTGCTGGTGGGGACCAGACCATCACAGCAAATCATGGTCTGAAGTCTGGGGGTATCGACTCTGTCATGACTTTCAGCAAATGAATCATAGAATCCTAGAATGGTTTGGGTTGGAAGGGACCTCAAAGATCATCTAGTTCCAACCCCCTGCCATGGGCAGGGACACCTTTTGCTCAAAGCCCCATCCAACCTGGCCTTAAACTCTCCCGGGGATGGGCCAGCCACAACTTCTCTGGGCAACCTGCTCCAGTGCCTCAGCACCCTCAATGTAAAAAATTTCTTCCTTAGATCTAATCGAAATCTCCCCTCTTTCAGTATGAAATTTTTAAAAATAAAATTGATGTAATTAATGCTTTGCAAAAGCTCTCAGCTTTTGTGAATTCACTTCTTTCCCATGATCATTGCTGGAGTTATATTAGAGCGGATTGTTTTGCAGCTGCTTGTGAATATTATGCAGGGTTTTTTTTCAGTAATTGTTCGGTATTTTTGCACATCTGCCCTGGAGGGTGTAAAGATTGTCCCTTGTTCTATCACTACACGTCCTTGTAAAAAGTCCCTCTCCAGCTTTCCTAAATGCCTAAAGCCCTACAGAGATGAAGATTCACAGACACGTTTTGTTTTTCAGTAGAGCGTTTTCTGGATCAAAGACTTGAGAACAGAATTTAGCTTCTCATCAGACCAGGTGAAAGAACCTGTTTGCAGTCTCTGTATAGTGGGACCAGAAAACGCACTGGTTCCACCTTGTTGCAGTGGAAGTGAACTGAGGAAGAGCCAAAGTCACCCTGCCCTTTATACCCTCCAGGGCAGATGTGCAAAAATACCGAACAATTACTGAAAAAAACCCCTGCATAATATTCACAAGCAGCTGCAAAACAATCCGCTCTAATATAACTCCAGCAATGATCATGGGAAAGAAGTGAATTCACAAAAGCTGAGAGCTTTTGCAAAGCATTAAGTACATCGATTTTATTTTTAAAAATTTCGTATCAGTTACTCTGTATGCAAAATGTGATTACCTTTAGCTGATCCAGCTGAAGCTTGTTAGCATTTTCACACACAATGAGCACGTTCTGCAGATCTACGGATGCTTCAATGTACTGAAGGCAGAGCTGTTCCAGGCGAGAGAGCTTGAAGTTCAAGGCTAGTTTGTACACGTCCATAATGAGCAACACATCCTGCACATTACCTGAAATTACAAGAGGTAAAAGTGCTGGAGAGCTCACAGAACAAAAAGACAAACTTTTCTCAAAGTATTTCTCTTTACACCAACTTGAGCTTTTGGAATGGTGGAACGGGCAGCAACTGGAGTGTTTTTATGGAGGAAAAATTCCATTGCTGGTTAGGCAAAATGTGAATCGATACTGAAAAAGGAGTTTCAAAATTGAGGCATGAAAGACTCACCCCAAAAGATTTTTTTGGCACAGATTTTGTGACAATCTGGATCACAATTTTTTAAAACCCTCAAAAGAAAGCAAAGTCTCTAAAAACACTGAGAGGCTCCGAAGCTAGCAGCCTGATTTTCCGAACCCACTGCTACCAGCTCTGCTGAGCTCCTTGGGTTTCAGCAGTGTTAGCAATCAGCTCCCTGATTTGACAGACCCTTATGAAGGCGCCCTGGTTGCACGTGTACAGATCTGAGGCTGGTCTAGAAGAGAGGGGCAGTGGGGACCTCTCGTAGGCCACTGCAATGGGGCTACTGGGACACCAACTCAAGGAATAATCCTCCACAGCCTTTGGTCTCCTCACAGGAGATCTCTGGCCATCTGCTGTAATTACTTTTTGATAGAGAAAAGCCTTTTTCCATGTCATGTGCCTTCCCTGCGTCTAATCGGGAAAATCCCATTTGATAAGCACGCCCAATTCCATTAGCTCAGCCTCTGGAGGGATCCCCAGGGTGCTGCCCTCTGAACTGAGAGGAACAATCAGGAATACTAATGGTCAGGACAGGGCCACTGGAGGATCTCAGCAGACAGGTATGCACCAGGGAGAACACTTGATGGGCTGGGGAGAGGGCAGCAGGCTGCCTGGGAAGCCTGTAACAAAGGGAAGAGTGCAGTGTGATAATCCCTCCCTTGGTCTGATCCCGTCCCGCAGCGAACACGCTGCGGATCAGCGAACCGGCTGAGAGTGGGATTTGGCAACGCCAGCAGATGCCAATGAGAAGGTTCCCTCATCCCCATTTATTAGGCTTGCTCTGAGACAGGCCACTTTGCAGGGAAAGCCTCTGGACAACTGCATACAAATTACTCTTTTCGTGAAAATTACCTTTTACAGAAAGGAAAGATCCCGGAGTGAAACTGAAGCAAAGCTTCCACCATTAGGACAGCTGCACCTCACTTTACACGACTGTGCCACGTGGCTGCAGCTTCCCCAGCCCCACCAGCTGCAGCCTTCCCTGGGTAACCAGTCTGGCTCCTACTTCCCAACAGACCTCATTGCTCAGAGATGGCCCTGAGCTGGATGGGCTGTGGGGGAGCTGGGAGATCTCGGGCTATTACCGCTCAACCTCCAACTGTTTTTAACTTGGGGATCTTCAATGAACGCATCGAATGGATGTTTCCTTTCTTGAGGCATTCCTTTGGATTGGCATTTTGAAGAGATGATAAATACTGGCTTGCTTTGCCTTTCTGTGTGGGCTCAGTTTGCAACAGATCAAAACAATACCAGAAGAGGGAAATAAGCCAACCCAGGATACATGGTTCCTCCAAGCAGGCTGCTGTAATGTTCAAAATACGATGAAATTTTTGGTTGATTGGTTGGTTGGGTTTTTTTTACACCTTTTGGAAAGATCAAGAACCTGCTTTTTCTTGATGTTTGAAAAGAATTAGGAAAAAACAAAGCACTGTTAGTATGCTTTGATAGAAACCTGCTATTTTTTTATCTCAGGTGAGTAATCAAGCACTTGGAGCAGGACTGATGATCTGCAAATGCTTGATCCTGCTCTGTATCCAAATAAATGTTTGCTCCCCAGTTGCTAGTGTTTTCTTTTATCCTGCTGTCCCACCTTTGCGAGGGTATTTTATTTTATCCGTATACAGGAACTGCATGAGCACCTCGAAGGGCTGCGCCTCGGCCTCTCGGATGGGCACTTCCAGCAGTGGCTGCAGGCGGCACAACTTGACATTCCCACCAATGCCATCCTTCTGACACGTCGCATGTCCCTCGTCTTCGATATCTTGCTTTGATTTCTAATGAGACAGAACAAACACTCAAACATGGCAACAAGGCTCTGTCAGCTCACACACATCAAGAGAAGCGTGGTCAGCAGGTCAACAGAGGTGATTCTCCCCCTTTACTCTGCTCTTGTGAGACCCCACCTCGAATACTGTGTCTAATTCTGGTGTCCCCACCATAAGAGAGACATAGATTTGTTGGAGTGTGTTCAGAGGAGGGCCACAAAGATGATCCAGGGGCTGGAGCACCTCTGCTACGAGGACAGGTTGCGGGAGCTGGGATTGTTCAGCCTTGAAAAGAGAAGACTTCGGCGGGACCTAATAGCTGCCTTCCAATACCTGAAGGGAACCTACAGGAAGGCTGGGGAGGGACTTTTTACAAGAGTGTCCACTGATAGGACAAGGGGAAATGGGTTTAAGTTGAAGGAGAACAGATTTAGATTAGATCTTAGGAAGAAATTCTTCAGTACGAGGGTGGTAAGACTTTGGAATAAATTGCCCAGAGAAGTTGTGGATGCCCCCTCTCTGGAGGTGTTCAAGGCCAGGTTGGACGGTGCCTTGAGTAGCCTGATCTAGTTGAGAGGAGTCCCTGACAAGGAGGTTGGATTAGATGATCTCTGAGGTCCCTCCCAGCCTATGCCATTCTATGAGTCTATGATCACATCAGAGGAAAGATCCTTCTCATTTAAGACCCAAGTTTTCTTTATCTTCAAGATGACGAGGAATTCATATGTGTTAGATTTGTTGTTCCATATCCTGCGATGAACGTGGATCAGAATAAATGTGAGCTTCTGGATGAAGCTCAAAAGCAGGACCTCAGAAAAAGGGAGGAATGAATTCCACTGAGCTCACCATTCCTGTCCTCA